CAGAGTGGAACATGGGCACTCCGCCTGGCACCCCATGTAGAGCTCCATTAGCTCAAGACAAGGTCTAGGAGGCAGTGCACCAACTCTCTGGTAGGCAGGCAGGAAAAGAGCCTGGGCTGCAAAGCTGCACACCTAAAACTCACTGCTCTTTGAGGAGAATCCAGCCTTCACTTTGCAAAGCACTGGCTGCACTCGCATGGCAACATCCAAGCAGGGTCATGGCTGTGAAGCAGGGAACAGGCAGGGCCCACCCAAACGCAGACCAAAGAGATATCCGGATAGTCCCGCTCGGTCTAATCCTCCTCTCCCAGCTTCCTCCCCTATCCACCTGCTTGYCCCTAAACTGTATGTACATGATCCTGAAGAAATGCAGAAGCTAAAAGCCTTCCATCTTCCTGTGAYCCTTCTAAAGAAAGAGAGTTGTGCTTCGGAGCCACAGCGAAGCTGGGAATCATAGAGGAGCGGTGGGTGCCAAACTCCAGGCACTCATCTTTCACGGAGTTCTGTTAAAAAGGCATGGAATTTCTACTCGCATTCAAGATACCATATATATAAACAATGAATTAGCCTCGCAGCTAAAAATACATTAGAAAAACATTCAGACAGTCTATTTTTGGACTGTTCTGTTCTATACTAGTGCCACAGTTACCTGCCTTCCTTCCACTTGGAGATGTTTGCATTTTTATCCCACTTTCACACTCTTCTGATGGCTTCTTGTGTCAGGAACCTACATTCATAATTCAAGCATTTTGGTACTGGCTCTTTTTTATTATGTCATAGTAAAGCTGGTTGAAACTAAGCTTTAATTCCAAAGGAAGTTTCAACATTTGTTTTCATTTCCTATTGTGACAAAAGTAAATACATCCTAATTCACCAAAATTTGTTTTATGTTTAAGATTTTGAAACTTCACTTCAGAAACAAACAGGGATTTCTTTTTTTAAGTTTATGAATCTTTCTCATTCATATCATGCCAGCTATAATGCAAAACGTGAGCAAATAAAGTTAAAAAAATATTTTCAGAAAGAATGCACAAAAGGCATTGGCTGGGTCAAATGGCACTTCTGCAGCACGTTTTGCAAATACTCCTTTCATTGAATCAATGCTTCACAACATCAAAACTTGCTTTAATCAAAGCAATCAACCAGCTACAGTGTGTAGCTGCCTTCAAAGGAACCAGGTCACAACCTGACTCACATCTCCCTGTAGCCCTTGAAAGCGAATGCAGCTCGATCTGTGTGCCCAGGATGAAAGCACTCCCGGGAATCTGGGGAATCCAATTCCAGCACCATTTTTAAAACATTCTACTTGAATTTTATCTTTTGATTTTACTTCTCTATTCAATCCTTAAACAGAAAATCCACAAAAAAGCTTCCTTGTCTGCTACTCTGAACACCTGTGGTGTAATTCTGTTAGACTCCTCAGACCTCCCAGACTTACTGCATTGTAGGTAGCTGGAACTGTGGAAATGTGGAACTACGAAATGATCCTTAGCTCCTTCCTCCCAGCCTAAAAGTCAAAGCAACTTTTCCCCATCAGAGAGTCAAATCCTGTGGTGGGTTTGACAAAAGAATACCTTATTCCCTAAGATTTGGGCCCCTGCAGAAGCTCCTCTTCAGTATCATATTGCTTTGAACTCCTGCCACTGGGAGTGATCTGTGTGCACCCAGCTCCCCAGCCTGAGCTGCAAGCAGGATTTTGGGGTCAATTCCAAAAGCTTCCATYGGTACAGCATGGACTCACTTCCGACAGTAAATGTTATGCCTTGTATACTGAGTACAGAAATACTTTTATACCACGTCCCAAGCCCTGAAAAGCACAAACAGAACAAATTTCACCTTAGGGACCAATTTTTTTTTTCCCTCCCATTCCTTAATATCATCAACAGAAACTGATGGAAAGCTGGTTGTGCTGTAGTCACATTTACTGTTTATTTGTATTAATAACCGTGCACCTTCCCCCTTGTCCCTCCTCTGAGAGGGTAGCCCTCCCTTCGAGGCTGACATTAACCTTTAATGCTGCCACAAGGAAAGACACTTGTCAATGGAAATGAAGGAAAACAACACATGGAAGTGGTAATTACTTTAACCTAGTTTATCCCAGCCTAAAATATAACAGCGGCTCCTGTGTCTAGACGAGCCTGATGGAGAAAGATGCTGCTAAAATGCTCTGCATCTTTTTTCCTGTTGCCATGTTGGTACTATTAAAAAATATTTTCCTACACCCTCAGACTTGGCATTGATTTGTATTACACTGGATTTTCTCTTTGGTCCCATAAAGCTTTTTAAATCTCTACTTGTGCCACAGTTCCGTGTGAAACAACCCTCTGTCTGCTGAAGAACGAACATCCAGGCACGTGAGAGGGAGGAGACATCTCCCTCAAGAAGCACTTGCTCAAAAAACACCCAATTTGATTCTCTCTCTGCAATAACCTGATTTCTGGACTACCTGAGGACAGACCTGTGACTATCAAAACTCAGCACAGTCTTTAAGGAGAAGGAGAAATTCGACACAGGGCTTTGTAATGAAACCAGGRATACGACTTCCTCCATGCCTCCAATACCCACGTCTCACCTCAGTTTTCTAAGAACTGGGGAGGAATCAGTGCCAAAAAGCAAGTGTTTCCTTTGGGGCCCTTTAACATATTTCCTTGAGCTCTAAGTGGTACCGCCCGGTCCCCTAACACTGCTGGGACACATCCCAGCCCATAACCTGCACTGGAAACACTCCCACATTGTGAGACTCATGCTCTCTATGTCTTCTCCATGGCCTCAGCTATCCCTGAAAATCCACTGCAATATAGATAAAAGGCCATTTTATGGCCAGCACAAGCCTTGGCAGTTGGCCAGCGGTGCTCTTCTGAAACACCTCAGCAAAGCAGCCCCATCAGCTATAAGATCTATGTGTGCCGGGTCACTGGGTTACCAAACAGAAGTGTCATGACATGTAAGGACATGGTCTGTGCTCTGCTGTGAACAAGGAGCCAATTATTTTGGTGGACTCAGATTACTCTCTTGGGATGCATGTCAGTGGGGGAGGATCACTGCATTGTAATACCATTCCCAGTGGGAAGGACTAAGCCCAGTATTCAGAGCTGTTGAACAACGACCAGTCAGTAAAGACACAAATCCACAGGATGTTGCGCTGCAGGCAGCACGATGGTGAAGAACTGCATGCTTGGGTGGAAAAATCTCCCTTAGGCTGGATGCTACATTGTGCCGGACTACAGTAAAAAGCACAAGTCACTCCTTCCACAGGAAATGACAGCAGCGCCAAATGAAAACCATGATAACAAGCAATAGGACCTTCCCACGCAGCACTTCCTAGCAGCACCTAGGAGTGTGCACAGTTGTACAGCACTCGAGAAGCTTCTCTCCATCGTGTGCAGCTAGAGTTTGTCCCTCTAAAGCAGGCTTAGCCTTTAAACACACTTCAGGACCAAGAAACTGTAATACAGCCAAAAAAAAGAAGGGAAAAATGCCAGAAAATTAAAGTTTACAGGCGTAAAATAATGTTACATTGTGGTGATTCACAGCAGGCAGCTTGCATGTCAGGCTTTTTTTAGAAACACTCAGAGAGAACCGCAAACTGTAAGGCCAGCAGCACAGCTGTCAAGCCCCAGCACTTTACATCGCATATGTATGCACAGAAAAAAAGGCCTGTATCAATTAACATCTCAAATTAAACTTGCAAGGGCATTTAGAAAATAAACTGCTGCTACTAATTGGGGTTTTACAATTGCACTTTCCTAGTGGCCAGCTATTGCTGCCTGTAGTAGAGACTACTCGATGGGTTGAAAGTAAAGGTAGGAAAGCAAAGTAACACTAAAGGAAGGAAAATAACACTAAACAAGAAAAAATGGTGGCAATGAAGTGAAAAAAACCCAACTTTAAGAAGGTGGTGAAACAAATACAGGCAACTACTGATAAGGTTTCTGAACTGCAGCAAAAGAGAAGACAGGGGAATCTATCTCCCCAAATCATCTGCAAATGAAATGTAACTTTTAGTCATGCCTATGTAAGTGCTGAGAATCAAAGCCATTCCAAACAGTCTGCTGATAAGCCAGCGCACTGGGGAAGAACAAAAAGGCCATTATTTGGCTGGAAGAATCAGCATGTGCTTCCAGGCTCGCTGGTCCCTTTTTTGTCAGCAGCTGTTCCATCAGGGATCAGTGAGCGTGCTGGAGTGCTGCAGCTGTTCCACGTATGTYATAAATAAGAGCTAGTAACCTCATCCTATATTTAGCGTTAGGAAAAAAAAGTACAGGAAGTCACAGAAATTCCCTATTCACATCTTTTAAGTGGAACTGCTCTCACATTCTTGACTTTAATACCCAGAACTGAATGGACAAAACAGGCCATTCCTAAATTAATAATAAAAAGAAATTGAAATTTAATGGGATTAGATTACATCAGTCTGGAAGGCGTAATCAATTATGAGTACAATCTGTTTGGTTTTAAATGCAAAACTAGCCCTTCAGCCACTGTCAATATAATCCCTATGAGTGTCGCTCTGGTAAAAATGCTGGATTACTGCGCTGAGAATTTTTCTAGCACTGTCCAAAACTGACAGTCTGTATTCCTGCCACTACCTCCATGGAGTGCTGTGAAATGACYGTAAAGCACCTTGAGATCTCAGGTGGAAACTGTGTGATAAAAGCTGAAGAGTCTGAGATGGAGCCAAACTCCACAGGTCCCCAGGGAAGGGCCTGGGCCTTGGCTCACTCCATGGCCTGCCGCGAGGCCACCACCTCAGCACCCACACTGGCAGCTGGGCAGCGACACCCCAGCTCCCATTGGGAATTCACACACCCCAGCTCCCACGGGGAATTCACACATCGCCGACAGGGAGCTAACCTCAGTGCCCGGTGGCTCTGGTCCCAGCCGCTCCCTCTCTGCTCATCGCTCGATCAGCTGCTCGTCAGGCCCAGTGCAGCAAAGACCACCARTGACCAAGAGCCAAGGCACAGCCCCGTTCTCAGGCAAGGAAAGCCCCTGCTCACCTGTTCTCGGGGTCCGACAGCGTCATGTTGCGTGTCACATAGCACATCTTGAGCGGGATGGTTTTTTTGTCTCTGTGGATGGAGATGGAGAGCTGTGACAGCGGGTCAGAAGATGCACAGCCCAAGCGAGGAGACTCTGGGGGAGGCGTCTCCCACCCGATTTCTGAAACAGGAGAGCCTTTCTTCACGTAGGGTGTTGCTTCCCTCATGTATTTCACTATGAAAARAAAAAAAGAAAGAAAAGCAATAAATAAGTGTATATTCAACAGTTATGTGCAGTGTGAGTTCTTTGACTGTGTACCAAGTGTTAGAACACTTTATTAGTTTTATTTGTCCAGCATCACAACATTGGAAGCTGTGCAAACATATGAGATGTACATCTAGAGACCAGACTATCTCAACACGGTGCAATGAGCAAAGCAGGAGAAAAGAGCAGAACAGGAGAAATACAAATGTACAAGCTGCACAGGTGTAAGAGCAGGAGGGTCTTACACCGCTTCTCAAAAGGCAACAAAAAGCTATTCAGGAATGTTTAGCACAATGAGGGTTGGAGGAGGTACACGAAGCCTTTTCATGGGCATTCAATCCATCAAGTGACAGTGATAGTAAATCTGCTGTCCCCCTAAAATATTCCAACGACCACCCCACTGCTGTGAAACCAGGTCTCGCTGTGTCTGCACTTGCCAGGGTGCTGCCACTCATCTCTAGGGGTATTTCTGCTTGCAGGAAGCAGCTCTTCTACCCGATCTACTTGTCCATACAGATGTGCAGCAAAGAAAGACTGAGTCACATATTGATCCTCTCTTGGGTAAATAAAACTGAGTTCAAGTGATTCACAGCACTAGAAGCCCTCAGAATACCTTCCATCATCCACTTGACCTGGTACTTGATCAACACCTGGCTCTACCTTGCATGCTCCAGCCCAGCCTTTCACTGTGGTCCAATGGGCGCTATGGATTTTCTTCTGTTAGGCCAACTTTACCAGTCACCGTTTCATCCTCCACCAGGAAGCCAACTAAGAGCCCCATCAAGAAGAGGTCTCCCACTTCAGTGTGCTGGTTAAACATATATATCTAGTTTACAGATGTGGTCTGTGCAGTGTGACAGGGCAGGCCTCACTGGTCAGCTAACTCTTGGCTTGACTTGAGCAGATGTGGGATGAACCAAAAGGGCAGCAGAGCCATGAACTTATTTGGGGAAGCTGCTCAAACGCTGAGAGACAATTTCAAGTAAATTGTGCAGATCATCATGTTCATTGTGCTGAAGAGTCTGGGAATAATTTAATAACACGAAGATGGATAAAATTCACTCTGCTTTTACGAAAGGGCAGAGTGGTGAGGAAGCTTAAATTAGTGGAAGTAGACTGACTTTTTTGGAAAAAAAATAGAAAAGCAGTGGAAGCATTTGGAGGAATAAAGAAGAAAAGTGTTTTTGTCAAAAGATAAGGCTGGTGATTTCAGTAATATTTTCAATGCACTTATCAGTCTTACTGAGATACCTGTGCATAAATAAAAATCCCAGGCTTTATGGGCATCTACTGCCATATTTTTTTTCCCTAAAACATCTTGCTTTTGCTCTCCCCACTTTTCCTAACCCCCTTTTTAAAATCCGCTCCTTTCAGGTACAAAGTTATTAAAGACTTCTGTGTTTACCTGCTTTCTAGAATATCCTTCTCTGAGTAAGAGGAGGGTTTGCATCAGAAATCCTGTCTGATCATCTGTTTTTGCTTTGACTTCTTGGTCCCATATTATTCTAGGTAATTAAAACTCATTTCTTCTCAGGAAACTGCTGTCATGAGATTCAAATGAGATTCTGGAGACTAGGAAGACAAAAGGTTTTAAGATTGATTTTATGCCTTTTTTTTTTTTTTTTTTTTTTTTTGGGAAGACACCTACCTAGATCTCATTATCCTAAAACCTTCAGCACCGAAGTCTTGAATCCAGTGCTCATCTCTGGACACTCACTCACTCTATAAATTAACTGATTTTCAAAGGGATTGATTTTGCAGGCTTCTGAATGAATGATGTCTCTTCCAGTGTCATAGGAGTTGCTTTTTAACAGCAGGCTTCTCAGTTTGGTTGTACTTTCTCAGCATTTGGGAAACACAGAGATTGAACAGATACAGACAGATGTGGTGAAACTCTTCTTGCTTCCACTGCTCTAATGCGTTTTTGTCATTAGTTAAAATGGGAGGACAGCCAAAACTGTAGAAATCTGGTATGACAACAGTAAGATTTTTTTTTTCTTTTAAAATCAGAGATTATCAATTAGCCAGTTGAAAAAGTAATCCAATAGGCTTTGGAACTCTGATACAGAGATGTGCCAGAAAATGTGATGCTAAAGCGAGGTCCAATCCTGTAGCCACTTTATATCTGCATTTCTCATCCTCCTTCAGCTGCAGCTATGGGCACCGGACCTGAACAACTTTTAATTAAGAAAAAGAGAGAAGGGAGAAGGAAGCTGAAGTAAAAGTCTGACTCTAAACCTAGGCATGAAGTGGGAACACATAATGTTGATTTAATTCCCAAGGCATGTAGATAGAAGGAAAGAAGCTTCCTTTCCACGTGCTAAGAAGCCAAGTTTCCAGGCAAGGCAGTGGCAAATTCATGACAGGCAGCTGCACTATTTCAGGCAAGGGAGGACACATTATCAGGAGAGGAGAGCAGAAACACTACCCTCTTTCCACAATTCAAGTTCCAAACTCAGCGAAGGCTAAGAAAATTACCTTGGGGGAAAAAGTCCTATGAAAACTCTTGCCAACACCTTATTTCCCAGACATCTACTTCTCCCTAACTTCCTATCGGGAATGGAAACCCAGAGACTTACAAAAGTCCACTGACATATGGGTAAAACACACAGCTGAAAGCCATCCTTGCTACAGAATTCTGCAGTTCTGTAGCAGCATTAAAAAATAAAGTGAGTTTTTTCGCCATGTGAGAGAAACTGAATTTCAGTCGATGTCTACTAAATACTCCCTACTTTCTACTAAACACTAGCATGGCTGTCTAGATCCAGCTCTGATTCTGTTTGGTTTTACAAACAGATTTGAAGGCTCTCGTGCAGCCAAATGTGCCTCATTTTTCAATGACGCCCCAAATGAACACATGTAGATGGAATGGGTAGCAGAACTTGACCCAACTATATAATTATCTTTGTGTTATTTAAATTTCAGACCACTATTTTCTATTTGGTCCAGTCAACAGTTGCTGTTATACAGCCACAATTAAAGCCTAGTTTGCGCATTTAGTTGAAATAAGACACACACTGCTCAGATGATCCACAAGCTTTATCAGCAGTGATTTCCTCTATACCTCTAGATGCTGGACACAAATACTGCCAAATACTCTACTGCCAAATACCAAAGCAGCAGGAGCTTTACTACATGTAGCAACTTATGGTGAACCTCCTTTATGTCAACATTGTGTAACCTGTCCACATCCCAATTCTTCATCTTTCTAATTTTTATGTCAACATTGTGTAACCTGTCCACATCCCAATTCTTCATCTTTCTAATTAAAAAAAAAAAAAAAGATGGCACCATAGATTTCAGGCTTTTTTCTATAGTATACGGCACTATCCAGGAATCTCGAATGCAACATTCTTAACTGAAGTTACACGACTCAATTCCATCATCAAGTTAAAATACCAGAAAAAATACAGCACACTATTGCACATTAAAGTGACACTGTTGATAATATTCTGTTTTCAGACCATTTCTCTCAGTGTGTAGAGTTACCTCTTGAACGTAGTAACACAAATTCAGGCAGTAGCTGAAAAAGAAAGCAGCTACAGAGAGCACTCTTCTTATATATTGTTAATTGCTAGTGAATCTACCTAACAGATTACAATCTCAAACTATCTAATAAAAAGAAATAAGGCACGACACTGTACAATAACTCTGAATAATGAAAAAAAATACACTTTCCTGTTCTTTAGGCAAGTATACAAATGCTTACAGAATATATGTACTTTTGTATAGAGATATATGTATATAGGAGGGTGTACCATATATAGCAAAGAGTTTATAAATACTGTGCGTATGTATTTATGTGCATATATAGATAGATAGCCTATAAAGACACTAGATTTTCAAAGATCACCAGGAAGTATTTCAAGAACACAGAACTCAACTTACACAGACTGAGAAAAAATTTAAATAGTTTCATTATTCTAACTCAATTTACAGACAGACTGAAATCTTAGTGGAGAGCTGCCAAAACTCATCCACTTGATGGTATAGTTCAGCTCCAGAGATCTTTATATTCCGGGCTAATTAATGATCCATGCCCTTCTGGCGCACCACAAATTAGAAACTGCGGACGAGCAATTAAAATTCCAATCTCTGGAGCTCCTGTCCCCACAGAGGCCAGAAGAGCGGAAGCGGCCGTCAAATGAATTAATCCACTGATACACACTGCAATACTTCACATTTATTTTTTGATCTGCAAGACAGGCAGCAGAGCTTCCCAAAAAGCACTTCATTTATGCAGAGTTTGTCCAAGTCCCAGCTCTCCACAATGGATCTTTTGTTACTGCACACAGATGACTTTGTATTTTCTTTTCTTTTTTTAAAAAGAAAAATAAGAAGGGAAAAAGAAAAAAAAGAAGAGAAGAAAAAAAAAGCAGGTTTTTAACGAGAGCAATACTCTAGACCAGCTTGGTGCAGTTCTTGGCCAGGCACATCTTTGAAGAACCTGGGATTCTCCTGACAAATTCAAACTGTGTCCTAGGAGGGGAAAAAGGGCTGCTGATGCCAAGGCAGTGCTCTAAAGCAAAGCTCTTTCATTGCTCTAGGAATGAGGACAGGAAATGTAGGTTGACAATATGAAAGTGAAAGAAACAACACGCCCCAAGGACTTGGCCTCTGCAGGGGAAAGGAAAAGTCCTGACACATCTGTTCTCTCCTAAGCAAGCAGAGAGGGCTCCCAATGGCAGCTACAAGAGAAGCATCACCTGGAAGCCCGTTAGGACCGTATTCCAAGGATGTGCTAACATTAATGATACCTGCATCCAAAGAAGCTGAGGAGAGAGACTAAAAATGTGCTTTCCATGCTTAAGACATTCACCCTGCAAGTAGGTATCATCCTTTGGAGCCACTCAAGAAGCCCATGGAAGTGAATGTGAGCAGCCAACACATCTTTAAGAGCTTCTTCAGAGCACTGGGTCTTCTGTGCCGAAGTCAGCACACTCGGAAGTCTGCAAGCTTATTGCAGACAG